AGCGTCCGTAACGGACCCGTTCGCATTTTACCTGTGATAATTGAGCTCAAAGTTAATAGGCCGGTAACCGACCGCGTAGCTCAGCCGACAAGGGACGACTCGTCAACTTTGAGCTCAACTATCTCGGTTCCTTCAAAAGATATAAAAAAGTTGTCAACTGGTAAAATATTAATAATTTTATGATTAACATTTTATCAGTTGACAAATTTTTGATATCTCATGAAAAAACCGAGATGATTGAGCTCAAAACGCACACATAGGTTGGGCTTTCATTTTCGGTACCTGCGATGAGTGCTTACAAAAGTAGTTAAAACTAGTTAATTCGAGTTGAAAATTTCTAAAAATGTAAAACCAAACTAGAAGTTTGTTTTCATAGTAGTTGTTATTTTCGTAAAATGCGGCTCAAGAGTGATCTGGTTCGTGAAATCAAGACTTCTAAACTTTTTGGAATCTACCGAATTTCCTATAAAAACTTTGAGCTCAATTATCTCGAGTCCTGTGAAAGATATAAAACATTTTTCAACTAATAAAATATTGACAATATTATGATTAATAATTTATCAGCTGAAAAGTTTTTTGGTATCTTTCACAGCAATCGAGATAATTGAGCTCAAAGTTGATGATTTCGATGGGGTTCTTCTATTGGAGGAAGTACGGTAGATTCGATTAAACTTGGAATCAACCGTTTATGAAAACTATGAATAGTTTACTGTAGATTACTGTATTTTTAACTAATTTCTTGTGTATATTCTAGTCTATTTTTCAGACACACCACGGCCGTCGACTTTCTCGGAGCCCTAGTTCCTCCAAACATTCGTGACCAAGTGTGGGCTTTGAAGCCTTTAAATTGCATCAGTATCAGTGGAAAATGCTACTGTTGCTGTGCTCCATACACTCCAAATCCTTGTGATGCTCAATGCACTCTTCATCCTTGCTCCAGAAGACAAAAATTTTCAAAGACACAAATCAAGATTCTGAGGAGAAAGTGGCTACAGAAACAAGAGGAACGGGAGCAGGAGCAGGAGCAGGAAGAGAGGGAAGAATAGAAAGGAGTTAATTTTTTCATTAATAACAGAACAATAAATAATAAAAATAATTAACAAAAATGTACGAAAAAAAACAAGAATTAGGCACATTTTGAAAATTCATCTTCATTGAAATTCAGCACATTGTTTGTGTACATTCTGGAAACGATTTTCAGCTTCTTCAGAAATTCTTTTTTATCTTTTTCTGATTTCTTATCTTCAACTTTCTCCTCCTTAAATACTTCTCCCGCCTTTTGTTCTTCTTCTGCCAGAAAATCGGAATTTTCAAAATGATCAGTTTCTTCTGCCTCTTCTTCTTCTCCTTCATCAATCTAAATTAATATTCTGTAGTTTGTAGTTTCCTCTTTCTAGCCTACATCATTATCTTCTTTCAAATCAATCACTACCACCGCTCTTCCATCATTTCCATTACAAAAAGATGCAAGCGCGGCTAGAAGAGATCCCATTTCTGAGCACGTCTTCGGAATACTCAACGAGCAAAAAATCGCAGCAATTTCAGAATCCATACTTGACTTGATGGCTTCGTTAATGCATCCGAGTATCAGATTTTTGCGGTTATATCCGAAGCGAATTCTTCGTAGAGCACGGATCTTTGATGACCAGTCAACGTCTACATCTGGGATTCTGAATGTAGAGTATTTATGAGAATAGGAAAGTGTGTTTTGTACCTTTCCAACGCCTGTCTCCTTGCCCAAAAAACTACATCTTCTGGATTTTGGTCAGCCCATCGAATCGCTTTGGCGAATAGGTGATCCTCGATTTTCGGTGAATCCGTGAACACAACCGAAAGAGAATCACAAAGTTCGGACATTTTCTGGAAGTTTTCGTCATAAATGAGAAATTTTGATTTTCGTAAGTACCGTATTTTCTCCTACAGAAGCCCACCCAAACCGTCAACTTTGAGCTCAATTATCTCGATTCCTGTGCATGATATAAAAAATTTGTCAACTGATAAAATGTTGATAATTTTACAAAGAACATTTTATCAGACATTTTATCAGTTGAAAACATTTTGATATCTTTCACAGGAATCGAGATAATTGAGATCAAAGTGCGGGGCGGGTTCTATTATGCCGCGTTCAAAGTAGACTCCAGGAACTGGAAATTGCGTCCAAAGCTGCCAATTTTTCCAGGTTTTCCAGGAGCACGAAACTTCGATTTTCCGCATTGTAGCTGTGTTAATTTTTCGAGGTCCGCTGTAAATTAACAAGAAACTTTCTTTTTTTGGACCTCGAATTGATTTCGAAGAAAAAAACACAGCTACAACGAGGGAAATCGAAGTTTTAAGTCCATGGAAAACCTGGAAAAATTGACAGCTTTGGACGCGATTTCCAGTTCCTGGAGGCTACTTTGAACGCGGCATTAGAGAAAATTAGTTAACTTTGAAGTCTTACAAAGGCATTTCAAGCTCTTTCGATTCGTCTAAAAATTTAAGAGCATACTCAACAAAATCAGAGCTTTCTTTTTGTAACTGGCCACTTTTTTGCACCTATGTAGATTTCTGATAGTGAGGTATGCGCTTTTAAAAACGAGATGCTTGATCACCGAAAGAGGCGACACGCAGACAAACAGTCTTTAAAGGCGAATATCTCAAAGACTACAGTATCCACAAGAAAGTTGTTAACTACAAACATGAAACTTTAACTTTGTTTAGTATACCCTCAACTTTTCAAAATTGGAAATTGGCTGTATTTCATTAAAAAGTCATATTATGATATCTTTCTTTCAAACTACAGTATCTCGTCAACTAGTGAAGATATTCAAAAAGTCACTAACATAAAAAGCTAGATATCTAAATACGCTTATGAGCGAGAAAAGCTGAACAAGGTTAAAAACTAAAAATATATATGTACATTTTATTCATATATAAAAACAATTTATCCATCAATATGAATCGCCCACAAGTCTTTAAGAGTGAATCCGTTGCGAATCGGTTCCATGGCCAATCCAATTTCCTGATTCAGTACTGGAAGTCGTTTCTCATCAGTGACACTGTGCTGTCCATCAAAATACGCTGCGAATGGGTCCGGACGGATGTCCTTCTCAATTTCAACATCATCTTCATTGTTGTCCATGACGTCTGTCACATCTTCGTCTTCTTTGATTTGACGAGCTTCTGACTTCTGGAATTGTTTATTTTTATTTTTATTTTTTTCCCCGGATTTTTTGAATACCTCGGCCTTCTCCTTGACATACTGTACTCCGAAAATAGGTCTCAGAAGGTGTGCCTTATGAAGAGATTGGATACTTTTCAATAGTCCCTGCAACTTCTCTGTCGGGTCCACTTTGAATCCCAAAACGTATTCTCCACTGCTAGAAGTTGTCTCCAGAACCAGAGCCATTCCAAACTTTGATTCCCGAATTCTGGCGGAATATAGAGTCAAGTATGGGACGGATACATTGTAGCCAACGTTCATTTCAGCATACCAAACGACGCGGATGTTGGTGATGACGAACACTCCAAGGCTTCCCTGGAAAAGTTGATTTAAAATTTAAAGATGTTCTTCAGAACATACAGTTTCAGTAGAGAGATTCCATACACCAGAAACATTCTCAACAATATTTTCTTGTGGAAGAATTTTCAGTGTTCCGTCGTTTTTGATGAAAATTCCTCGCATTTTGAGCTCACGGTACATTTTAGTGGTCTCGTATGCACGATTGATAGAAGCGATTGTCGTGAAGAGTTTTGTATGAGCCGTCGTGTTGGTTGTGGTGAAAATGAATTCGAATTTCGTTGTTGAGGATGAGACTTTGGCTAGAACGTATATCGCTTCGTTACTTCCTCCACGATTTCTGGTTGCCAACTGAAACATTTTCAGGTTTCTTTTGTTTTATACAATCTTTTTTATTATTCTGGTACAAGAGAAATTGAGCTGCTGAAGGTCCCATAACGACAACTACAGTAACCTAATAATAATTTTATTTTCTGAGTTTTTTTTCTAGTGAAAAACGAGAAAATCAATCAGGCAAAAATATATTCAGGTTACTGTAAATGTCGCTGTGGGACCTTTGGTCACAGCTCCGATTTTTTGTACCAGAATGATATTTTACCGATGTCGATGTTTTCGATTGTGTTCCAGTGATCGTATTCCACCCAATAGTGATGTTGATGCGCGGCATGCTCATAGCGTACCAGATCAGACGAAGATTGGTAACTCGAATTACCCCTGAAACGACCTAGTTTTGAATTGAAGACCTAAATATATTCACCTTTATCTCCATTGTTTCCTTTCGTGTCTTCCACATTCTCCACTTTAGCAATTTGTACTTCTCCATTGATCATACGAAGAAGTCTGAAAGGATTTTCAGATTCTATGTTAGAGTTTTTCAAACTAACTTATGATCCACATCGAAACGAATTTCGCGATCCTGCCAAATATCTTCTCCATTCACTCGCTCCATTTTGAGTGAACGAATGAAGACGGCTCGTGAGCAGCGAGGCGCGTGAGTGTGTCAGGTTGCCATAGTAACAAGGTGTAAACTCGACAGCATAGAGAAAAAGGGAGAAGGAATTTATGTAAACTCTATCTTGCATCAGTATTATATTTCAAACAATCATCACATTATTACCGGGGAAAGATATGAAAAAGAAGTATCTATCGACGAGTGTGTGAGATGGAATATGTAAAGAGAAATTGGTCAAAATTTGGGAACCGTGGTTTGGGAAATGTGACAATTTGGGAATAAAATTGAATATAAAATAAAGAATAGGAAAATAAACACTAACTTATTGAACATTATTAAAATACACATTTTTATAATTAACTAGCAACTCCTTTTGCATATGTTCCAGATGGAGGTCGGAAGACTTTCGGTAGAAAATGCATTTGGAATGGACTGAATGAATAGACTGGTTTTCCTACATTCTTTCGACAATTCTCACGACGAACTCCATCTTTTCGAAGGGAGTTCACAACTTCCGAGATCTACAAAAATATAATTCAATTGGTTCAAAAAGATTCAAAGACAAACCTGAGTTGTGTTGAAGCCACATGTCTCTCGAAGTACTCGACCTAGCTCTAGCGTTGAAGCCATCCCCGTCCGATCTTTTCCACTTTTACAAGAGATGACAGCTTCACCACCCAGCTGCTCACACGCAGTCATCACCCAATCGAAAACATTGAGATTCTTGCGAGATGGTTCCGTGGAAACTTCATTAACCACCTCCATCACAGCTTCTCTGGCACGTTGACTGGCTTCAGCGCGATTGGCAAACATATTCAACTTTTCTGCAGCGTCTTGATTGACAGAACTTTCCAGAGCAATTCCTCCGAATGACTGTCCAAATGTTGCCTCGTGATTCACTCCAATGTTAAAGTATGCAGTGACCACAGTGAATTCGGAAGTCCATTTTATATGGTCAGGTAACGAATCGAAATACTCATGAGGGAGAGGGATAGCTACCTTGAGAGCACTTCTTGTCCCTTGTACCATTGGAATACACGTTCGGCAGACGGCTGACGGAGCACGGACCAGACGGAAACGAACTCGTTGTTCTAGAGACTTCCAAGCTTCTATTGCATCTTCAATCATCCCTCTTTCATCTCCATATGCGCTCAGGAATGAGAATATTACTAGAAGAAAATCTGCAATAAAAAGAATTTATATTAGTATCTATTTACGAATAATAACCAACCATCTGTGAATGGAATTTCCTTTTTCTGGATTCGATTCAAAATTGCTGTCGATGCGATCGTAATGGCTTGAGATAGAACAAAGTCTGTCCGAATCATAATATGGAAATACGCATGAGCAATTGATGGTTTCTGCAGTGCCTTCACCAGAGAAAACAACTGAGATTCCAGAATCGAGTCGGCCAGAGCTAACAGAATGTCTAGACACGTGGAGACGGCCTGTCGAGTATTTTTCTCGCAAGCTTCTCTTTCATGTGGTTCCTCATTCAAAGTGTCAATCACCGCGATTTTCGTGTTCAGACTAACAATCATTGCATCAATACGGTCAATTTGATTTTGAATATTGTCGTAGACTCTGGTTTCTGGAATTTTTCCTCCGGCATCTAATCGCTTCTTCTCTTCTTCTAGTAGAATATCAGAACAATGCTCTACATCCGGCAAACTGGATAGAACATCCTTGAGTCCTTCATACACTTGTTTTATGCCAGCATGAACTTGCAAGCATATTTTATCGGGACTTCCAAACTTTGCGATTTTCCACTCCTTCTCAATTTTATGACTTAATTCTCCTATCGTCTTTTTCAAATCTAGAAGCGTTTGGCGTTTGTTCCAGAATGTATAATCAAAGTTGTAAGGCTCAACGTCGAGCTGGGTGTACAGTTTGGCAAGACCTCCGTTCTGTAAATGACACAATTAGAAAAATTACGCATAATTGTTCAGTTACGTTATATCGATAAGGAATTGCAGAAGCAGTTCCAGCTGTAATAAAATCTCGCTTGTCATTCGAATTGATGTCATAGGAATGAATATGCAGATTTGTAGGTACCAGTCCAAAAGCTACTCGATGTTTTTCAGTAGACTTCCGGAAGTGTGGTCCCTAAACTGAGAAAGTAGAACAATTATATTCGAGAATTAAAACCTACAGAATAGTTGTCAACGAATTCGAAGCATTGCTCATAGGTCTCTGACATTTCTCGCAGTTGTCGTATCACTTCATGCAGCCAGCTAACTGATGATTGGGGCCACACCCTTAGCCGACTTTCCAGTAATCCAGAGAATCTGAAAATTCAATTTATCATTCATATCATTTCCGGTCACACAAACTCACTCTGAAATTTTCTTCCTATTCAACTTGATTATCTCTTTCGGTAAGATAAGCGACAACTTTGTCTCGCTCATACACTCTTCAACTGTAACCCTTCGAGCTGGCAAATTGTTTTGTTGAGTTATAGCAAAATTGTGAGCGATTCTAAGCGGTGCGGTTTGATAGAAACTTTGGAAAGACGACGTTTTTGGATCGATGACTCCATCCGACTCACTGGACGCAGATGGTGACATTGTGTAAAATTTATAAGCTACTTCATCAAGTTCCGCTCGAGCCATTTGATGAGAGCACGTGGCGAGCTGGAAGCAAACCGAATATGTTTCTGACAAAAAGCACAAGCGTTCTGACTCACTTTTATCATCCACTGCTCTCTTGTCTCTTCGCTTTCGACTCCAAATTCCAGATTTTCTGTTTCGTCGTTGAATGTCAAAACGAAGGAATATTTTGATGAGGCTTCTGGCTGAAATATTTATATATATAAATACTGAGAGTTCTCTTTTTTAAAGAACTTATGTACCTTGTCCTCTAACTTCTTGATTACTGATCTCTCAAGTATGAAAATAAGTGGTTCACAAGCGGCGACCTCTTCTGTCCCGCTAGACTCGGAGACACAGAGAACGTTGCCATGGAGAAGAACCTTAATTGAGAATTTTGATTTATAAGAAGTGAAAGGTGAGATTTATACCTTCGCGGAGTATGTTTTCGATTTATAACATACGGTAGCTGAGCCAGATAAATCATATTCGATGTTCTGCTTTGTGAACGCTTTGAATATTTCATTTGCGTTGTCTTCATCCATTGAATCTGAAATAAGAATCTATATATTCAATCAACACTCATAAAAGTCATATTCTATTGTTCTAAAGAGTCATCTTGCCACGAAATGTAAAAAAAGTGAGGAAGTTTTTATGTTGAAACCTCCCGTAAATCTACATGGAAGAAGAAAATGCGCGGCCATACGGCCACAAGCTTTTCCGAGAGGAGTACACAAGCGTCATTATAGAACCCGGTCAATAAGTTTAGTAATGCTCCTTTTCAGAAAAGTTTTGTTGCTACTGTAATTAACATTTTGACTTTACTGTTCAACTGACAGCGAAAAAACAGGTCAGGACGCTGGGAAACATTTCTAATCTAGCAAAATGACTCATTCTTAATGGCATTGACTCATTTGTTAATTAATCAAACTCTAATATAGTTTTCAGCTGTGTTCCGGCCAAACTAACACAATGTGTTGAATTCTGCGAGTGTGAATATGTTCTCAACCACAATGGGATTTCCGTCGACACCACTTGAAGCCAAACAAGCTTTGGGAATCTCATCGGCTATAAGTGCAGGTAAAAAGGCATTTTTTGACCGAATTCAATTCGGAAAAAAGATTGTGAACCATGTATGGATTACTGTAGCTGGGCAGCGCGAGTTTCGTTTTTCAAATTTTTTACCATTTCTTAACCCACTTCACATTGCTAAAAGCATGTCTAAACTAACCCGCCACTTAAGTTTACGCAATAATTCATACAAACAAGGTTGATATAATCGCCTAAAATCTGAATTTCACTAAAAATGACATATATTCAGCTTCATCAGGCCTTCGAGCGGGCAGTCCTATGCTCTCGGTCAGCTATGAACCTCAATTCTCGTTCGCCAGGTGTATCGAACAGTGGAGAGGAAAAGAAATTGCAAGATGGATCGAAGGTATTTGAGTTTTCATTTTCAGATAATTCAAAATTGATATATATAAATATATACCGTAAAACCTCTAATAGAACGACACCCGGATCGTCCACTTTGAGCCTATATATATCACTTCTTTTGAAAGATATCAAAAAGTGGTTAACTAGTAAAATGTTTATCAGGATATCAGCAACATTTTACTAGTCAGCCACTTTTTGATATCT